GGACTACTATTAATTAAGGCTTAGACTTAAAGACGACCTTAGTATCTTAGAGATACCTAAAATATAGCGTATAGTAGTATAGCGAGCTTCTAGAAGCTATCCTAGGATCGTATATAATTTAGAAGAGCCTCGGACTTCTATAAGTTACTATTAAGGCAAAGGAGATCGCGTAAGGTTATTAGTTATAATATAGCTTTACCCGTATTACTACTACGTTAGATAGAGTATAACGAGGATAGTTTAGTAGTAGGTCTCGACGAATATATAATATATAGTAGGGATTACGAAGAGCTTAGAGATATAAGGAGCTAGAAAGAAGATTACTATAGGATATAGTATATATAATAAGTAATAAGATACTAGTAGCTTTTTTCCTATCGTAATATATATATTAATAATATAACTCTAGTCCTCGCCTAATAGAATCCCTACGTAGCGAAGTATAGACTTAAGTATATATATCCTTTAAGGCTATTTCTCGATTAGATTATATACGATTATTCTACAAATTTAGTATCGGGCAAAAGACTACCTTATAATCCTATTCCGTTTACTTTAATAGTCTCTAGCTCCTCCGTTCGTTATATACGCGGCGTAGAAGTCTATACTTAGCTACTTAATATAATATAAGTATTCTCTATCTTATAGTCTAAGCTAATAAATATAGACTCTATCGCCCTTAAATCCTATAGCTATATAGTACTAAGTAGGTCTAGTCGGCTAAACTTTATTTTAGTAGGACTTATCTATAGTACTTTATACTTTTAGAGTTAAGTATATTAGTATAGCTACTACTAAGATATATCGTTAAAGCTTCGAAGGTTGCCTATACTATAATAGCTAATAACTCTCGATTCGAGCGGATATAGCCGAGGCTTTATTAGCGTAGCGCGAGTTATATATAAAGCGAGCGAGTAAATTGTAGCGCGTTCTCGAGGCTACTAAATCTTTTAAGGTACGTAGTGTCTTAAAGTCGTAGATAATTTCCTATCTATAAGATTTAAATACTTATAAATACTAAAGATAATACTATCTATATATTCTACTCTCTAGCTTAGTAATCTACTTCTATCGAGATCGACGTTACTTCGGCTCTATAACTTCTACTACTATCTAGTTATACTATTACTCGAATACGTCCTTTCTTTATATATAATAGACTATAGACTAGCGATATAGTTTATAATACTAGTCTCGAGCCGAGTCGTCGCCTAATTATTATCGAGATAGTATATCCTATATATAAGCTAAATTCGATATAGCTATAATAGTATCGGGATACTATAAACTATACCTAGTCTTATAGCCTTCTACTACTATAGTTTATAGAGCTTCTGCCTCTATCTAACGTCCTTACTTCTAGTATATTAGTATAAGGTTTGCTATACTAGTTAGTATATCGGGATAATCTACTTCGAGCTTTATTTTACTCGTCTCTATTACCTCTACCTCTAGCTTCTCCGCCTCTACCTACTATTCTTAATTATAATATATTACTACGAGGTTCGCTATACTAATTAGCGTATAGAGATAATCTACTCCGAGCTTCGTCTTCCTTATTTCTATTACTTTTACTTCTAGCTTCTCTACCTCTATCTATTATTCTTAATTATAATATATCGATACGAGGTTACTTATACTAGTTAGCGTCTCGGGATAATCTGCCTCGAGCTTCGTCTTACTCGTCTCTATTACCTCTAGGTCTAGCTTCTCTATCTCTATCTACTATTCTTAATTATAATATATCGATACGAGGTTATCTATACTAGTTAGTATCTCGAGATAATCTGCTCTAAGCTTCGTCTTACTCGTTTCTATTACCTCTAGGTCTAGCTCCTCCGCCTCTATCTACTATTCTTAATCGTAATATATAGATATAAGGTTCTCTATACTAGTTAGTATCTCGGAATAATCTGCTCCGAGCTTTATTTTTCTCGTCTCTATTACCTCTACCTCTAGCTCCTTTACTTCTACCTATCGCTCTTAATCGCAATATATTACTATAAGGTTCGCTATACTAGTTAGCGTATCAGGATAATCTACCTCGAGCTTCGTCTTTCTTATCTCTATTACCTCTACCTCTAGCTTCTCTATCTCTATCTACTATCCTTAATTATAGTATATCGATATAAGGTTCTTTATACTAGTTAGTATATCGGGATAATCTGCTTCGAGCTTTGCCTTTCTCGTCTCTATTACCTCTACTTCTAGCTTCTATACTTCTACCTACTATCTTTTAGTATATAGTATATTAGTAAATAGAGCTTAGCTATCTACTATATAGTCGTTATACTTCTCTAGCTATTCTGCCCTCTTTTCTAGCGACCTTTAAGCTATCTCCTCTACTCGATCCTAGTCGCCTACTAACTAGCTATACTATATAGCTCGATATATAATTAACGCCTATTCGAGAAGACCTACCTCTAACTATAGCTTCTACTATACTATATACTATACGTACGGGAGGAGAATCTAATATATATACTAGTTCTTATAGTTACTAGAAGGGAATATAGTAGATAGATTACTAATAAATTACTCCTAAACTAACTCTAACCTATCGTAGTTCTTAATCTATACCCGCGTTATATCCTATACTAGCCGATATATCGTCTAGTTAGTAGAGCTAGTTATCGTAGTAATAAACGAAAAACTACGTAATATTATAATATTATTCTCGAAGTTTTATTTAATCTCGCTCTACTCGCTACTCTCCTCTATACTATATATAAGTATCTCTAGAATCGCTTAGCGATCGTATAGGCTTATTAGTAATAGTAGATCTACTACCGACCTCTACGTTTAGTATATATACTCGAATAAGATCTACTACGTCGTAATAACCGAGCTACTCGCCTCCTACTCCCGATCTAGTAATAGGATACTTCGCTAGAGTAGGCTAGTCCTCGACTAATAGCTCTCTTCGACTTTATATAAGTACTATACGATTAAGGTTTATAGTTGCCTCTCGTAGATATATACTACTATCTAAGCTATAGTAAGAGGGAGGAGGTCTAGCGCTATAGCTAGTCGTACGTACTACTACTAGTCGTCTAGCTCTAGCTTCTTCTCTAAAAGTATTCTTAAGTAGTCGATATTTATTAGTAGGATATCGATAATTTGCCTATTATATACTAGCTATAGTATAATATTCCTTATCTATATTATAATAATTAGCGAGCTATATTCGTATACTAGAAAGTACTCGATTAGCTACTTACTCTTACTCTTACTTTCGGTACTAGACGATATAAGAATATCTCTATTATTTAGGTTATCTAGTACTACTAGCTATCTTCCCTTATACCTATTACTAAGCTATTCTTATAGAAGTTCTAGTATATTCGCTTATAAGTCCTTACGACCTCGAATTTTTAGCTACTCTACGACCTCTTTCGTACTCTACTATACGCGCGCTATAGTATTAGTAGAGATCTATATTACCTACGTATTCGATAATTATAACTATACCTTCGCTATATATTCGACTACTAACTATATCTTCCTACTATATATTAGCGCGTCTCTCTTATATATAGTAGGTCGCTACTATACCTACTCTATCTTTTCTAGTCCGACTATAGCTACCTATACTCCTTCTAAGCTAGCCTTCTTATTAATCTACTAGAGTAGTTCCTACTATAGAATAAAGTCTAAGTTATAGAGGAGAGGTACTATTAATAGAGAGAGTAGTAGGGTTTCGATACGTTCTATAGCGTATAATAGTTAGCTTATAGTCGTTAAATAGGTGCCGTACCTATACTAACTAGGTAGTAGGTAGATCTCGGCCGAGATTAGCGCGAAGCTCTAGCCTATCTAAAGGCTATTCTATATATTTCCTAGGAT